TATTCGGACTTGATTGCTTTATACAGAGTTTTTCTTTTTAATTCAGAAAGAGAAACAGATTACCCAATTATGACTAACTGTAAATTTACCTATCTAAAAAAAAAAATTATGACCAACTTGAGTTCTTGAAGCACCAAAGCACCATAAAAAGACAGACAACCAAAGTAGGTACCTTGCAATGAGAAAGCAAACAATTGGACTGAATTATAAAGAGAAGGCATCAGGTACAAAAAGCACACTAACGGTCTGTATCAAATTGAAAACTAGTAAAAATTCCGAGAAGAAAAATAAATAACAGAGGAAACTTCTCTACATGGTAAAAGAAACTCAAGAAATAGAAACTTCATGTTTGGCTCGGCCCAAGATGAACTCTTTACGTATCTGGAGAGGGATAAAGATATATGTCAGAGATGAAAGTCCAACCTTTAAATTATGAGGTGTAAGCACAGCCACACGACCTGAGCATAACTCCAAGAAAACAACCTATCATCAATAAACCAGAATCAACAAAAACTACTGTGGAAGCCTAAAAATAGAAGAAAATTGGCAGCTAAAGCAGGCTGCTACCAATTACTCAATACAAAGTCAAAAGAAGCACCTGCGGTTTCAAAAAATTGATCACGGCTTCGACTTCTTGGCAGGATTCCTGTGACCATGCATTGAAAACTTATGTGATTATACAACCCTCTATAAGCTCATTCTATTCTATAATTCGATGAATACACTAAATTGCCAATATGAGCCATGAATGGTACTCCTAATAATAATATGAAGAAAACTATTGCAGGAATATAAGTTGATCGATATTAGTTCAAAATTACTAACTTCTGAGAATTCATTTCTCAAAAAGAAATTCGCATAAATACAATAAATTAAATTCAAGCTTCAAGATAACTTCATCTTACTAAAACATATGGAAACATATGGAAGGAAAACGCCAAATTTACCGCAGAAACGTGAGCTGTGCCAACAACATACACATCGCAAATGCCTCCGTCGGCAGAAGATTCACAAGTGAGTGTCATTACATTCCTCGAAAGTTCCTCCGGCAAAACCTTCCTTTCGTATGGTTGACTTTGACCTTCACCTTCTTCATTCACCGACGAAACCTCATCAACCCCTCGTTCTTCCACTACGCTCTCATCAGAACCTTCTGAATTTGTAGAATTAACAATTTCTCCATCGACTCGAACAAAATCCTCGAAGCCGGACGCCGCAAGCCGATCCGAATCCATTCCCGCCGGCGTAAAGCGGCTGGGTACAGCGGAGAAAGTTTTGGAATTTGAGGCAATTGAGAAGGACTTGTGGCCGAGGTTTGTGACGGAGAATGGAGGGGCGAGAGATTTGACGGTTAAAAAGCGAAGGCGGGAATCGCCGATGAATGAGTAGAATCGTTGTGACTCGGCCGAACTGAGGTAGCTGAGTGTATTACGAGTCAATCGATGCATATGGAGGTTTTTCAGTTGCGTAGCTACAATGAAACAAACCGTTGATGGGATCTTATTGTGCCTTACTTGTACGATTGGATTTTCGCGACACGTGGCAACCGATTCTGATTGGATTATGTGCTCTCGTACCTTACCAGAGTGTCAAGTTTTCTTTTGACACGAAAATAAATAAGTTTTCCTTCCGGGAAAAAAAGGTTAAGTGTCAAAAAAAGGGTACCTTTCCCATACACTATTTGAAATCTTATTATTCTCTTTACTCAAGTTTCAATTTAATTACATAAAAATATATAATTTACTAATTATATATATTTTAGAAATTAAATGAGATATCAATTAACTCCTTATAATCTCGCTAACGTACATAACCCATCCCCCCCTCCCCCCACGTTTCTCTATTCATACTCCCTACGATTCTGATACTCTCTCCCTCCATGAACGCTCTCATCCATTTTTGTTCAAAAATCTTTTATAATATCTCTCTCAAACTTTTTGATTTCTCTCTCAAAATCCATACGAAATCGTTAACAGCTTCAAATTTTCCTTTCCTTTACGATGAAGAAGAAAGGATTTCCAAAGATAAGCCCTAAAAAGCTAATATTGGTGATATTCCTACTTTTGATTTGGGTGCTTTCTCACAGGATTCACCCAAAAAATGGTGAAATCAAGACATGCAACACCAAAGACAAAGTCCAAGCTTTCCCCTCGCGAAGCTAGGCCAGAAGCGCGAACAAAACTCAAGCATGACAGGGATGCTGGTGAAGCCTCGGCATCTGCTAAATTAGTAAAGCGGAAGGGCAAAGAAATTGCTCGTGATGATGATTTCGTCGAAGAAGAAGTTATTCCGAAACCTGCACAAAAAAATAATCAAAATTTCTCCTACTGTCAAACCTTCAAAAAGGAAGATGGTTCAAAAATCTCCTAAAGCAAAAGCTTGGTGCAATTAGTGAAAGTAAGGTGACTGGGAGATTAGCAAGAAGAAAAAGTGCACAAGCTGTGAGGGAGAGAACACGAGTCCGGAACAAAAAGAATTAGTTGTCCTTTCAGTAGAAAATTTGTAGTGAAAGTGTTATAGTTGGATTGTATTAAAGTTGTAGGAAAATTGTTTATTAAGAACAATCCAACTACAATTATTTGTAGCAGATTTGTGTTATAGTTGTTTTACCTTTTGTTTTGTTATTTTGTCCAGAATTCTACTACTTACAATAGAAAACATCTATAGCATATTTTTTTGTTGAAAGTTATTAGTACTTGATCTCGATATTGGTACTATATAATTTCTTTATAGCATAACTACAATTATGTCTACAACTACTATACAAAAATATAGAATCTATTCAAATTTAGCAGTGTTGTTAGGAAAAGCTTAAAATTAATAAATAAACCCAGTTTTTGAACAAAATAAATACAAACCAATTGCATTAAGAGTTGAAATCTGTATACCAAATATTCATTATAGGAGACAATCTTTATTCAAATTAGCAACACAATTACACCACAACTATAATTGTCCAGAACAGAACAAACACAACTAAATATGTCTTAAAGGACAGATTATCATCAACAGTACTCAGTAAAAAAAATTCTTTATACTATATCATTTCTTATTTCCTTTTGGGAGCATTCCTACAAGATTTTTTGTTATGCCCTTCTTGTCCGTAGTGGCCAGTAGGTGGCATTACAACTTCTTCTACTATATGTTGTGGCACATTCCATTTGCTTTCATCAGGTAGCGGGTCTACTGGTATTTCAAAGTCTGCAGAAAGCTCTCCCTCGTGTAATAAGGAGAACAATAGTTTTCATAAGACTCGTTCCTGTGCCTCAAAGCCGCCAAAGCATGTGGACAAGGAAGTTCATCAAGTTGGAATTGTTCACAACTACATCTCTTGTTTTGAAGGAAAACAATGAAGCGCTTCACACCATCTATCACGGTATGAATGTAATATGTTGAAGCCCTCACTTTCAATTTCATTACAAACACATAACAAGTTGTCAGCAATTGATAAAAGATAAAATAACCACAATTATACAATAACATATCTACAATTATCAGTATATATTTAGCTTGATGAAATAAATGATATGATGTTATTGGCTATAACTTACTCTCATCTTCTGCAATAATGTCATGTTCTCCTCCAACTCTTTGTTGTATTTTTTCCCAAGGTATGTACTCTAATAGTTGAACTACGGGCAGCTCTCTTGCATCTTTAGTTACCGCATTCAAGGACTCTACAATGTTTGATGTCACTCACCGTAGTATGTACCCGAGATCATCAATGATAACTAATATCGTATAGGTATGCTTTAACACGTGTGTCAATCTCTTCAATCTTTGACATTATTTCATTAAATTCATCAAGCATGTATGATCGTGCCGTGGCAAAGTACAATTCGCTTAATTTTAGATAACCTTTCTTGAACTTTGACCTTTCTTGAACTTTGACCTTACAATTATTCGAATATGCCACATGCAAGCATAATGTGGTATGTCGGTATAAACAGTAGATGTTGCCTTCAATATACTCCCATTTTGGTCAGAAACAACACACATCCTTTTGGTTTTTCACCATATGCATGTTTGAATTGCTCAAAAAAAACCAGCTCCATCATGCGTCATTTTCTGGATCAACAACAGTGTATGTTGGTGGTAATATGCTACCTATCATATAGGTAGCAAAAAGAAATCCAATTTCAGTAATAAAACTTGAAAATATAAAAATACAGTCTCAGAAATAACTTTATTACAATATTTTTACAATTAATCTACATTACCTGCTACATCCATTGTGCTAGTTGTTAGTATGATTCCCCTATATTACGGCTTCAAGAAGGTGCCATCGACTACGACAACTGGCCTACAATGCTCCCAACACTGATGGACGTACTAAGAGCGACAAATGCATATAAGAAACAATCATCTCAGTCTTCTGCAATTTCACTACCGGCCCCGGATAAGTCTTCTCTAAAATATACAAAAAAACTCGGAAACCGACTGTAGAAATCAACAGGATGACCTCTCAAAAATTCCAAAGCCTTTTTTCTTTTGCTATCCAAGCTGGTACGTATGTTAAGTTCACATCATGTTCCAACAACATATCAGTTTGTATGTCTTTTGGTATGTTTATTGTCTTAGGATACGCATATTTTGGCATGACAACTACCATGACAGTAGCTTTCCGTTGTATATATGTGTTGTCCATCAAAGAGCATGTGTGCAAGCTGTTGAATTTTCAAAACTTGAACAATATTGATTCATTTATGCTGGTGGACTTGAAGTGCCACATACAATTGTCACCGACAGATACGAGGCAGTAGCTACAGTAAAATAACTAAAAAAATGTTATGCAAATTGTAGCTACAGAATACGAGCCTGTTTACGCACAAAAAATTATTTTAAACAATTTATATACATAAAAACTACAGCTTATACACAATATGATTTTGACAAATAAAATATTTCTAACTTCTTGCACTAGACCTTTCACCCTAAATTGAGACTTATTCATGACAGAATAGTGCTTTATTGCACTAATAATTGTCTGTTTGTCTTGGTAAACTTGGCCTACTTCAATTACTTTTGGCGTATGTTCTGTTATGATGATACTTTCATATTTCACAATTGCCAGAGATGTTGGTATATGATATTTTATACTTCAATACCACACAAGAGATGGGGGATGATTTGTGTGGTGACCAATTTTTCTCTTAGACTAATTATAGAAGGACATGGTTCTTCTATGTGTTCCTTAACCTACTATTGCAGAAATAGTAAATGCGAAAAGTAAAGAACACAAGTATTTTACGTGGAAAACACCTGGCTCAAAAGGTGAAAAAACCACGACCTACTTTCCACTAGGATTTTTCCAAACTCTCCACTAAAATCACTGAGCCAAGAACTGCATTTTCAAAAACTCTTTCGTAAACCTAAGACTAACTCTAATCCTGTTGTAGCACACAGCCTCTAACTGTTGCGACAACTTCAAGTTAACTCTAACTTGAAGACTCTGAGTACCTATTACAATTGCCTCTAGATAAAGCTGAAAGGTACAATATAAAACCACCTACTAGAATAAAAGACAGACACTTGAAACTGGTTCTTCTATCCGGTTCATGTAGCTTCAGGTTTGCACACTTGAATCACACACGAACTGCTTGTAAAATTGCCTTGCTATTTCGCTCTCAATTCACGTTTAACTTCTGCTTATGTGCATTACCTGTAAAAGAGAACAACACTAATATTTATAGAGTTAGTAAATAGAGATTGACTAAAATTCTGATGCTACTCTTCCTTGGTGGAAGAGTTCTAGTTGATCTCAACCTCTAACTCCTTCCCTTTCTTAAACCTTGTTCTTTTTGAGTAAGAAGTCCTTCTCCTTATCAATTATGCAACCTTTTCGATCAGGATCAGGAGATATCAAATCTGTACAGTTAGGTTTATCTCCTTCACATGCATCTCACATGCTCAAGTCTATCCACATCTATGCTCCAATGAGATGGACCTGGTTCATGTCTGAATTCCTTTGTCAGTCTTCAAAACTAACATTTACTTGGACCAACAAATTCCCCTTTTTGATGATGACAAACTCTGTGCTTTTCATACACTTAGGCCCTGCTAGAACTCAACTCAAAGTCAATGTAATGTTAGAAACATTTTTCACTTATCATCAAGGACCAGGTTCATTAGGTTATAAACATCACTGTTCAGAATCTAAAGCACAATTTCTTTTCCCCCTTTTGGCATCATTGAAAAGTTGCATAAAAATGTGATTTCCAAATTTTTAAAAATTACTAATGGCTACTGGGGAAACTGCAAATGCATTCATGGATTAATCATCAGTAATCAACTACACATTCAAACTATCAAGGAGATATTAACAGTCAATAAGAGAAAAAGCAGCAAACTTCATTGATAGAGAATATGATTCTGCCACAATCCACAAAAAGAAACAAAAACAGTTAAAACATGAGCAACAAACAGAAACATCCCTAATCTGGATCCCTGAAAGGTCTAGGCATGGCTTACGAAACTAAGGCTTGGAAGAACTGGGGGTTTGGGTTTTGGCTTGGAGAAGGTGCAGCATGTCTTGAAGAATTCCATCATTCTTCTCATTTTCCT